GATAACCTTTTCTGTCATGGTATGGGTGTGGGTGTGGGTAACGAAACGAGAACCAACACCCACACTCGCACCCACGCACACCCACCTACCCCGTCCTTATAAATAGCTTCGATAAAATAGCAATGACGTTACCTCTTTAATATTGCTCTTAATCGTATGTTGTTCTCACTTTCACATATAATGTTCGTTCCTGCTAGTATGCAGCAACATCGGTTTCTTTTTCTCTTTCCTTTTCTATGATTCTCACCGGTTTTTTGTTTCTCCATTTTTCTATGATAAAGAAGAAAAACAATGCACACGATTTCTCAATTTCTGTTTGACAGCCTACATCAACACTATGTTTTTCCCGCATGCTGTTTTTTTCTGTGCATGCATGATCAGCAAACACAGCATTAAATACATTCAGAGAGTATCAATAGTGGATTGATATTAGATGTAACTATGATTCATGAGCTTCTGCTTCACAAATTCCAATGACAGTGTCTGAATATGGCAGTATTTAAACGAATGTCTTTGCAAAAATTGTATGGTTATTTAAACGAAAGAAGTAAGATCTAAATAAATCCGATCACCACTAGAGCGATGGAGCGAATAATCGTCATTCAATTATCTAATATAATTATAATAATCTAGATGTCAATGATAATATGAATCTTGTATAACAATTCATGCCACATCTGACTTTTGGAAAAAATAAAAAAAAACAGGAAACGGTATCACTCTTCTTAAAGTTACAAAAACAAGATGTACCTACCTCATTATCGTGTTTCCATTTTTCTCATTCCAAAAATACTAGATTTTTATAGCTGACAGAAAAGGTTATCTGACAAGTTATAACACGAGTTGACTTAAGAAAGTTTTTGAAGGAATGGGAAATTAAACATGTTGTACTATATGTAAAAATAGTCATAGTTTCTACTTTGTGGTCTTGGAGTTTTTGATGGGCCCACCTTCAATAATTCTAAAAACTATATGGTTTTGTAGCCCATGAAAAGAGCTATCCGGTGGTATATAATTGAAGTTGGCTGATACGGAGTTTTAAGAAAATAATTAATGAAGCATGTTGTACTATATATAATAATGATCATAGTTTCTACTTTGTGGTCTTGGAGTTTTTGATGGGCCCACCTTCAATAATTCTAAAAACTATATGGTTTTGTAGCCCGTGAAAAGAGCTATCCGGTGGTGTATAATTGAAGCTGACTTTCTTGAATCTATATAGAGAAAACTAATCTGAAAGGTTGTCATGTAATTACTATGCATTCGTAATAAGATCATTCGAAATCATAAGGTAGGAAGTCGTCAAATGTATTGGAAAGTACTCGCCAGTTGAAGCTCTCTCATCCTATATATGATTGTGCTGTACATAATATGAAAAGTCCAATGGGCCAAATTACGGTCTTATGCGCCCCTGTCCTTTATCATCTTATTTTCTCGTAGTATGTTTTTTTTTCTAATTGATGAACTAAGTATAATTTATTGAATAATTCAACTGTAAATTTTCTCAATAAAATGATTTCTACTTATATTCCGTCACGTAATATAAAACATTGTTTTGTTTAAAAATATATACAAATATTTTCATAAATTTTTTAATTGATTAACTTTAAGATAAAATTCATCGTATCATTAAGTATACTTTTATATAACTAATATCATTTGAAATAAGGACTTTTTTGGAATACAAACATGCAAAAGCTTATTATTCTATCAACCATTTACTTCTACTAACAACATTTATGACCTATATTATATCATAGGAAAGTGGATGATTGGCTTTTTTTTTTTCGTTCTTCTGTAGGAAAAGAAAAATGAGAGATGTTTTTTTCACCTTAGTTAAATAACGTATCGTCTCATAGTAACAGAAGAAGAGAACAGAGAACGTAAAAGTATAACATAAAGTGCATGGTAGACAAATACGAGAAAGACTAAAAATAATTTTGTTGTTTTTTTGCCAAAGTCACCAACACAAAACACTACCATGCGTATCTTTGTACAATTTCAAAATGTAAGTTAATATTATCGTCACGTAGAGAAGTATGAAGAAGAGAAATTGAATGTTTCATTTACAAAAAAAGCTGTTTTTCATTATATTGATTTTTATTTTGTTGAAATAGTCCATTACGTTTTAAGTTATTCAACAAAAATATGTAGAAAAAACAAAAAGAGTATTATTATAAAACCATTTCAAACAAAAGACTCTAATCGACCTCAATTTTAAAATCGAATAAACAAAACAACAATGTTTGATTAAGATAAATTCTGTTTTTCTAGAGCATAAAGTTCTGTACAACGTAAAATGTTGTTTTATAACCGTTCGATTTCATGCACTGACAAAAAATTCTGTAATCGATAGTAAATAATTTAAAAAAATGTTCTATTCAATAGTGTCTCATGAGCTACTTAGTGTAAATCTTTGTTTACCGTATCTTTAGAATATCATTGTAGTAGTGAATTTAGGAGCTGAAATCGCCACTTCATTGTCATTTGCCACTTATGAACTTTGTTTTCAACTTTTTACATCAAAATCTAGCGAAAATTAGTTTTTTACTATTTTTAGTGAATTTTAAATACCGTTTTTTATTGCATAGGATCATCGTTCCCCTTTTAATCAACATTTTCATATCAATTATTTTTCTCGAGAACTAAACAAATCAAAATATAAATCAATACTTTATCATACAGATAAGCTATTTTTCTGTGAACAAAAATAAATCATGTTGGTTAGATCATTAAGTTAGTATTTTTTCGAGAATTTTTACTATTGAATTAAATTAAGACATACTTGTGAAATGATACTTTTCGATCGAGACTATCTTCATTTGATGAGTATTAAATGGTTTGCTTTTCCAAGCCTTCATTCTTGAGGTATCGATGTTTTACTATGTTTTTCAAAACATAGCTGTAATCACCCTCAGATCGCGTAGAAAATCGATTTTCGAGTTTCGACTTCAAACTACACACGAACAAAGTCTTTAATAATATTAGTTCATTGAGTGCGTTGTAAAAATTCCAGTATGTCCTATCATGAGATAGTCAATATTCGAAATTCTCTCATATGTAAAAACAAATTTTGTTCCAATATTCACATCTTCAGAAAGGAAATTCTAAAAAACGCTAAAACTTGTTGTATGGACTAATCTCATTAAGAATTTTGTTCTCGCATAACTTGAAGCCGAAAGTCGATTTTATACATGACTTGAAGTGACTACAGCTTTTTTGTTGTTGAAAAATTTAGTAAAATTTCGATAGCTTAAGAACAAAGATCCGAAAAACTAAACCATTCTAAACTTTTCTATTGACCACTAGTACTCATCAAGTGAACACCATTCCAATCGAAAAGTGGTTTGTAAAGGAGAGTAGTTGTTAAACGATGAGATTCAACCCTCAAGAAATTAATCTTCATATTTTCCCAACATTCGATTCAAATGTCAAGAGTCGATTACCATTCGAATTAGTCTGTTAGCCCTCATTCCGGGTGCGCACAGATGACTTAAAACTCGATATTAGTTATTTATCTCCTATAAAATTGTAGTATACAGTGTTTATATGAAAAGTGTTTTTTGTTCTATTTTCAGCTTTTTTAATTTGAGTTCGATACCAAATGAAAGGTTACTTCTTCCCTTATCGAATGACATATAGGAGTATGAGAAAATATTCTTCTATCCGTTTTTTTTGTTTCGATTGTATGGTTCACTTGATTACATAATATAAGGGTAATGATGACAAAATTTCCCTTTTGTACTGCTATAAAAGCAGCAATTCAGTGTGAATCACATTTTATTTGATAGTCCTTTTGAAGATCTACAAAATGTTACTATAACACCAAGTTTTATTTGTAGATCAAACACTTCACCCAAACGCACAATTTTCGAGAGAGAGTCAAACATTCCTCTTTTTGACTAATATTTGACTTTAATAGTTACACTTTCTATTAAAACACAGTATATTTGCAATCAGCATAAAGCACTCAGTCAATTTATGTATCTCGCAGAATAGTCCATCAATTTTCATTTTTTTAAAAATTTAGTCCTAGTCCTTCTCATAGATATGGCAAATAATAAATCCAGTCGAAACATCAGTTTAACTATAAAAATATAGACATTCATTTTTAAAAAGCTAAAAAGACAAAAAATGGCCACTGGATAAATAATAAAAGCGAGGTTTTTGTTGAATTTGTTTTTTGATATATTCTTGAGAGAGAAGCAGGCCTGAATTTTGGTACAACATGAAATTGAATGAGCCTTTTTTTGACATACCTAAAATGACTCAGATTTTTATGCACATTTTAAATATGTCATTTGTTTCAATAGAAAGTGTAACTATTAAGATCAAAATCGATCAAATATTAGTCAAAAAGTGCAACATTTGACTCTTTCTCGAAAATTGTGCGTTTGAGTGAAGTGTCTGATCTACAAATAAAACTTGGTTTTATAGTAACATTTTGTAGATCTTCATAAGGATTATCAAATAAAATATGATTCAAACTAAATTGTTGCTGCTACAGAACCATAGGAGAAAAATTTTATCATCGGTACCCTCTTTATTCTATAAACAACTGAACCATACAATCGAAACAAAAAAAAACGGATAGAAGAATATTTTCTCATACTCCTATATGTCATTCGATAAGGGAAAAAGTGACCTTTCATTTGGTATCGAGCTCAAATTAAAAAAGCTGAAAACAGAACAAAAAAAACAGCATCATATGAACACTATATCAAGATTCAATAGGGGATAGATAAATAATGTCAAGTTTTAAGTCCTCTGTGTGCAACCTGAATAAGGGCTAACAGACTAATTCGAATGGTAATCGCCTCCTGACATTCGAACTGGATATTAAAATGATATGAAACTGAATTTTGAGAGTTGTTTTTCATCGTTTAACGACTGTTTTCCTGTTCATGATTAAAATTATGTATTTTAAATGACATTCATGAAGTATTATACATATATTAAGAAATTTCTTGTCATTTCAGTGAGTCCAAAATTGTACCAGCATGTCGTTCGAACAATCTACATTCGAGTCACCACCATTATCCAAACAAGACAATTATAATAAATATTCGAGAAAACCAAAAAGTTCGGCAAAATCAGATTATTGTAAAGTATGTGGTGACGACGCAACTATCATCAATTATGGTGCACTTTCTTGTCAATCATGTAAAACATTCTTTCGTCGAAACGGCTTTCGTCCTGAAGTTCGTAGTTTATGGTTTTTTTGGTCAAAATCTTTATTGATTGTGCATTGTTTTTTATTATAGAGTGTGCGTCCATGTTCATTAAATAGATCATGTGAAGTGATCTTAAAAACACGACGAAATTGTACTGCTTGCCGTCTTGCTAAATGTCTGTCAGTCGGTATGAGTTCAGAATTAATTCGTAAAGAAGAATTGCAAAGTAAAAAGTCTTCGTCAATGTCTAAATCCAAATCTACTAAATATGCTGTCTCCAAACAACTAACAGTATGTACTAAATTTAAGTGATTAAATTTTTAAGATTATTATATTTATATATCTGACAAATTACTTTTTATTTAATATATTCTAAAGATATGAATGTTTTTTTCTCGGTAAAAATAGGTAGAATAAGAGACGCTGTCACAACTTACCCAATTTTATGTATTGTCAATGCTCATTTTATATATCATACATATACTATACTTGTAGCTGCTGTGTATTAGAAAAGATATCGACTTCTAGTGAGTTAGGACAAAACATAGAATAGAAACTAAATTGAAGGGAATTGTTGTCATCCTTGAAAGTAATATAAAAACGATTTGTTTTTAGAAATTTTCTTCTTACTATTAGATTAAGTACTATATTTTTCGCTGAAAAATAATATTTTCTAATGATTTGAACACATAAAACGTTCAGAATTAGTCTACCTTCAAATAAGAGACAGAGTATACAGTGTTCTTTTTTCCTAGCATCTTTAATTATTATAGAAAATAAAATTGCTAAATACCTAGAATTATAAATAGATTGAAGTTCTCTATGTGAATAATAATTCAAATGATAATTGCTGTTCTACATATAGTTTACACCAGAGCGATTAACATTGGATTTTCTTCACAAGGATCGGTCTCTGACCAATTCTGAATGGACATTATTGTCGAATATTATACATTCTCATGATACATTTAGTATAATTCCACAAATTCGTCAAATCATCGAAAGATTATCAACATTGCCGAGTGAAATACAAATCGATGAAACAAATGCATTTGAATTCGTCATTCTTATGTATAAATCGATGCAATTATTTATTAGTTCTTCATTGGATTTTCATATACTTACGGCAAGTGAGCAGTATTTTCTTTTCAAACGCAATTTGCATCCTATCACTATCTTATACTTCGGTCTCGTCTTTCATGATGCAGCCATCACTAATAAATCCAAGTGTATAGATCTATTTACGACTATATATGGGCCAGACATTCTACTTCAAGTAAATCATATTAACAAACAAAAAGATTTTGACTCCACTGTTGTCAAACTTCTGTTGACTGTCCTCGCTTTTTCATCAAATAATTTCATCGTTGATGTTCATGAAAATATGTCGAATGACAGTCTTCTATATAGTGCACATGGTCTTTTCAAAAGTCAGAATGTATATTTAGAACTCTTATGGAAATATATGGCTTATCGATATGATTTTTCTAACTGTGTATGTCAATTTTCTCGACTTATTCAACATTTTCTCAATTTGATCAAATATTCGGCAATCGTCTATATGAACAATGTAACTCATCATAAACTAGTCGATAATGTCCTTAAGAAACTGAAACAATAACTTATGACTGAACAGAACGAGCAAGTTCAATCCTACAAAAATAAATGTTGATTTCACGTATAAACTTCTGGTTTGTTTTGTTCGTATTCTGTATTGTTTATTAAAGTTAAATGATATAATGAAAAAAGACATTAATCTATTCATTGATATCAATATACACATATGGTTGTTGTCATCATTAAAGAAACTATAATATCAGCTCAAATGTTTACTGAATCTGTTTCATGTCATAGATTAAGTAAAACAAATTATCGGTGAAAATTAATATATTGTAATATATTAAAAGATAAATAACTGCATTGATGTTTTTATATAAACAATTTTGTCTGTTCGAAAAGCATTGAATTAAGAATTGGAGTTTTTTTAAATTAAACATGGACGGAAAATAAATTTCGCTTAGAATAGTTTTTGTAAGGCAAGAATCATTTATTGAAAGGTATTTGTTCGTGATATTAAATGAATACACAGTTGTTTTCTAACTAAGTTCTTTATTAATTTTACTTAAGTTCAAGATTTGATTTCCGTTCGAAACTTAAATAGTCTAGATTAATTATTAGATGAGATCGGTCGAGTTTGTTGATAAACAATAGATCAACATTTGACATACATGAAATCTATGTGAATATTAGAACAAAATTTAACCTTTAGTATGGCCAAGAGCGGAACTTATGGAAGGTGGTGCATGGAGCATGGTGTCTCTTCTCTCACTCCTAATATTCTTCCACACAAGACGCCCTCCTTTAGAAAAATTTTTCACACAGCCACACCCTCTCCCTCTGCCTCTAATGCTGGCTTACGCCTCTACGTATGGTAATAATTATGATCAATCATCATTTTCGTATTATAAACAATAAATGATAAAAAAGAAATAGTATTAGAAGCGCATAAATATATATGTAAAATATTATAGATTATTGTTGTATTTAGCGATGAAATACAAATATTATTACGCTTGATTCTTATGAAAGAAACCGACAGAGTCTCAATAATTTTTGCTAGAATATCGACGTGAATTTGTACTTGTTTTAAATTTAGTGTGAGCTGCGAAATTAATAAAAACTTTAAACATTTAAACTATTTTATATTTCAGAAGTACCCAGCATCCAGAAATAAAAAATTCGATAGCAATTGATGTAGAATTCGAAAGGATTCAAAGCACTTTGTAGTAAGCACTGATGGAAACATAGGGACACAATTTCCCTGGAAAAGTTACAAAGATTAACACATACAATTTCAAAAATAGAGCTATAAAGAGTGAACTCCATTTAGTTTTCTTGAATTCTTTGGGCTTCGAAGCATTCAAAAAATTCAAGAAAATTCAAGGCATTATACAATGAGATGCATTAAAACACTCCCATACACAATATTACTGACTGGATTACAAAGACTGGCACATATAAATTCCGATGTGGATGGTCCAAAAACTGACTTCCAATTCATTTTCTTGAATATACAATTTCTGAATCGTGGATACATATATATGTATATATCAATCCTTGCTGGAGTCTGTTTGGCTAGCGATTGTTTTGTTCCAACCAATTATATGTGAGCAGAGTTTTTTCACTATAGGAGGAACCAAGTTTATTGTTGTTTGATTTTATCAGGCAGTTACCAAGAACTCACTCTCAAATGACTCGGATAACACTATGTTGAGTCCCTACTTAAATAGAAAAAAAACTCAAAATAAAATGGCATTTGCCTAACAGAATCTTTGAAATTTGATTTTAAATAAATTAAGTGTTAAGTAAAACCAGTTGATACTTATCTTACAATGGAGGTGTGTGAACTGTTGAGCGAAAAGATCGAATATATTCGGGTCAAAAGAAAGCTTTCAGTGAGAAACTAACAAATTTAAAATATGAGCTGCGTATGGCTTACCTGGAAAGAAATATTCAATTTTTAAGTTATGCATTGTTAGGGTATACAAGNTCAGTACCTTGTTTCATTTTTTAGATTGGACAGATTTCGTGGCTGAAATCACTGCTTTTTGTCAGATGCTTTTTTAATTTGTGAATTTTAATCATTTTGGCACAAACTATTAATATAGCACGAAGTGTAAATGTAAAGATAGATAATCAATGTTAAAGTTTTCTTTCTACAACGTGTGTAATTGTGTTTTGTCATATGATTTTCATCATCGTTTCATCACGCTTATTAGTTGTTTGAGCGTGTTTTCATTCTTTTTTGAATGTTTTTCTTATTCCTGATAGAGAGAGAGAGAGAGAGAGAGAGAGAAACCAATGATATTAACTACTCGTTCACCGGTACTTTAATGTAGAAAATAGTTCTCTCTTGATAAACATGCCTTTATCTAAATTTTTCTGAGCTATCAAAAGTCTTTACTATTGAAATTAGTAAGAATAAAAAAACATAAGTTGGTTGATGGGGAACACAATCTTGTTTAAAAAAAGCACAATAGCTTTTCAGCTTCTATTGATAGCTTTATTTCGATGGACGACTATTACTTGTCGATTCAATCTTTACAATACTGATCAAGCAATTAAACACAATGATTTACAATTTGATTGCCTGGATTATCATGTTTATGGTGGCAAGTTAGCTTATCAAGAATTACGAGATTTAACCAATGAAGTCATTCCATATTGTTTTCGTCCAGCAAATCATGTCGATGAGTTTTTAATCGAAGCTTCTCTCAATCCACTTTCTCAAAGTTTAAGTTTTCAAGAACTACGCATGGAAAACATCACTTCACAAGAACTTCTCTTGTGGTCAATTTCGATTAGTGTGACTGAACAATATCAATTGTATCTCAATGAACCAAAGTCGTCATTGAATATGTATTTCTACAATTGTACTGAGCCATGGTTTGGTCCTTTATGTCAATATTCGTTTGAGTTCGATGAACAAATGTCTTTTGACGAAATTGTTAATACTATATTTCATGGAAGAACGTCGTACATCAAGTCGTCTGATATAATGGTCCAAGTACCGTGCTATGCTCTTCTAAAATGTCATCGTAATGGACAAGTTTGGTGTCTTGATTGGCGCGAAGTGTGCGATGGGATACTTGATTGTTTTGATGAAGGTATCGATGAAGAATCTTGTTTCGATATGGAAATAAATGAATGTGAAGACAATGAGTATCGATGTCATAATGGATTATGCATTTCAGATAAGCTCTGGCAAGAAGGAGAAGGCGATGCGGACTGTCTTGATCGGTCAGATGAATTACAATTCGTCTCGTATCCAGACTTCTGTTTTCAAGATCCAACATTTCGCTGTGAAGAACATACTTGCAGAAGAAACCTTAAAAGATTTTCATGTGGAGATGGCCAATGTGTTAATCAATTTACAGACTGTCATAATGGCCGCCATGACTTACTAATTGACCTGATGACAACCAAAAGTAACCTAAAAGATGAATGCTGGATTGCTATGGTCTGTTTGACTAAACTTCGCAAGCAAGTTAATGGAACTTCGTGTGAAACATGGCTAATGAACAATTCAACTTATGAACTTCTCAAACAATGCGATCCTTTCTTCCAGTTTCCAACTATTCCAGTTTATTCTGGTCATGTTCGTTTCTTTTATGAAAATGTTTATTTGAGACCAATTTCAGATGATTCTTTTTTACCTGATTATGTTTGCTACGATCAGCAATTATGTCATTGGATTACGCCTCAACTAGTCCATGAAAATCTTACTTGTCTTCAAGATCACAAATCAACACTTTACTGGGGTACACCTCAGTCTTATTGGACGTTTATCATGGGGGCGATTGAATATTATTTCGATTCTTGCTTAATTCCTTCTTTTATCTTCCACAACAAAACAAATTATAGCAATCATCCATCATTATATAACTGTCAAAACTCAACTAAATGGATTTCTAAGTATCGTATCTTGGATGAAATACAAGATTGCTATAACAACGATGATGAAGTGTATCAAAGTAGCTGCCTACTTAATCATCGATATCGAGTAAAACGATGCGATCGAAAGAACTGTTGGTCTCCTCTATTGAAATCCGGTAATTGTATATTTAATGGCGTAAAAATTGAGAAAGAAATTCCATTTGAAAGTTTCTGCGATGGTATGGCCGTATACAATTTCATCAATAATAATGAAGAAATATTAACTGATGAGACCGAATGTAAATTTGCATGGTGTGACAATATATATGCACGTTGCGATGATTTTTGGTCATGCTCAGATGGACGAGATGAAGTCAATTGTAGGCGAACAGAATGTCCTTTAGAAACTCTCGCATGCGTTTGTCCTCTCAACTATACAGTGATTTGCTTACCAAAGGAGCGCGTTCGAGATAACATATCTGATTGCTTTGGAGCGACAGATGAGCAAAACGAATGTCGACAAATATATAATTCAATTAACAAATCTATGCGTCTCCAATGTTTGAACACTAGTATCTGCATACAACCATCTCAATTATGTGACGGCCAAAAGGATTGCATGTATGGTGATGATGAAGATATTTGTAATACTCATCAAATCACATGTGAAAAAAGTTCGTCACACAATTATAGTGAAGTTGAATTGATTCTTTGTGAACTGAATGAAGGTGAAAATCGCAAATATTTATACTTTTCTGTACATACTTTAACTAACCATCCTCTATTGAAAAAAAGTATCATCAATGAAATGACTCCATGGTCAATAAATCAGGGTCCTGTCGTAAATGTCAATGTATCTCAAGTTAAAAATAAACTATGGCCATGGTATTGTAATCGTGGACTTGTTGTTCATACTTGGAATAAAAACAACAATTATACTAAGACATGCATGTGCCCACCTAGTTATTATGGTAATCAATGTCAATATCAAAATCAACGAATTAGTTTGACATTACAATTGACAGCAGTTGATAAATTGGCTACTTATGCTATTGTCATTATGTTGATCGACGACGATGATGAACATCAAGAGATTAATGCATATGATCAATTTATATACATAGTAAAACAAAGTTGTAGTATTAAATTCAATCGATATTTGCTATTTTCAACACGACCAAAAAACTTTTCCAAGAGCTATGCTGTACGTATCGATGCATTCAAAAAAAATGAAATGAAATATGTTGGCAGTTGGCACTTTTCTATTGATTTTCTTTTTTTGCCTGTCAATCGATTAGCTGTTACATTAGAGATATTGAATCAACCAATTCAGACTTTGTCAAATTGCACGAATACTTGCAAGAATGGCGAATGTATAAAATACTTAAACAAAGAAAAATATTTCTGTCGATGTCATTCTGGATGGTCAGGCATTCAATGTAATATACCGATGAATTGTCATTCATGTTTGTCCAGTTCAATCTGTATAGGATCATCAAAAAATCAGTCGATATGTGTATGTCCTTTAGAAAGATTTGGTCCACGATGTCTATTACAATCAACATGTCCAATCAATGCTTGTCAAAATAATGGCCAATGTGTACCAGCTGATGTAAGTATTCCTGGAAGTGATTATACTTGTATTTGTTCGGATGAATTTTTTGGACCAAACTGTCAATTTTCAAAAGCTAAAGTTGATGTTTCTTTGAATAACATCCATGTTACATCACATCTTATAGCTTATTTCTTCACTCTATCTAACGAATCTCATCCAATCAATACAATTATACTTCGAAAGTTGACTCTTTTTCAATATATTGTTACTTTCCATATTTCAATGCCCTATAGGCGCTAGGACTGAATGTCGCAAGACAAAATGTCGCGGACAAAATGTCGCATGGACAAAATGTCGCAGGACAAAATGTTGCAAGACAAAATGTCGCGGACATATCGTCGCGGACAAAATGTTGCGGACAAGTTGTTGTGGACAAAATGTTGCAAGGACAAAACGTTGCAAAAAAAAATGTCGCATGGACAAATGGTTGCGAGGACAAAATGTTCCGTGGACAAAACGTTGCAAAAAAAAAACGTCGCATGAACAAATGGTTTCACGGAACAAAATGTTGTATGGACAAAATGGTGCATGAATCTTTCGTTGGAAACTTAGAGTTCCTCATGACTAGCAATGTAAAACAGATAAGTAGATATAATCTCTTCTTTTCATTAATAGCATAGCCTCATGTGTATCTTCAGGAGAATTTTATCTCTAGCCACGCTTCCACCGAATTATTTGATCTTGGAAGATCATTAATGATACGCTCATATACATTCCATAATTCATTATTAAATTTTGGTTTTTTTCTTCCAGCTCCTATAAAATACATTTTAGACAAATTTTACACAAAATAAATTGTTCTTACCTCGTTTCTTCTTCTCCTCAATCCATGTCTTTTCATAATATTCAACAAGAGTGTCAGCTTCATCATCGAATTCATCAGCAATTAATTCAAACGCTTCGATCACTTCTGAAGCTGGAACAAAAGGTAATGATAATAATTTTCTAACATTTAATCTAAAATTATCATCATCATCATATTTTGTTGATAAACCATTCTCTTGTATATGACGCCATATACATTGTCCATAGTGAAAAAGACAGCCTGAAAAATAAAATATTAATTTGAAAAAAAGATTTATATATATTACCTCTATGAACAGTATTCGGAAAAAGTTCTTTAATGGTTTTGATTGTGCCCGATTCGAAATCACTAAGAATTGATTCTGGTTGAAAATCATCTTGTTCTAAGACTTTTTCAAAAAACTGTTTATAATCATCGCTACTTTTACCAATTAATAACCCGTAGACGAGTGGAATAACAACAGATTTTAACAAGGCGTGTAATGTAAATAATTGATAGAATTGTTTAGGACAAACCTATACAAAAAATATATATTTATACGTATCATTAAACGCAAGAAATTATTTTAACCAACCTTAAATGTACCATCTACAAACCAATGTGTACATTCTTTTAACAAATATAAATTTCTTTTTGTAGTAAAAATAATCATTTCATTATCTTCATAAAGTATAAAATCGTCTCCACGATCAGTTTTTCTTAATTCAATAGGTAATTGAGAAGATGAAGTTAAAGATAATGTTGGACGTTGTCTTCGAACAGTTCTTGCTAATGAATCAGATGATGGCAGACTGCTAACTGCGGTTAAAGGTAAAGAGCGTAACGACGACTGTATAATTGAACTTGGTGCTTCATTAGATATAGCCGCTTTAATTTTAATATCATTTTTTATTTCAACAGCAGGTATTCGTTCTGGATTTGAAGCATGTGAATGTGGTGTTGGACCAGACATAAATTTATTTATCGATAAATTTGTGTGACACCGTGCTAAAAAGTAAATCAGAGTGATTTCAGTTTTGTAAAATATTTTCTGACCTTCTTTACCTTTACAGTCCCGGTTTTGACAGCGAAAAATACATTTTACTGCTGTTCTTCGCTCTAATGTATATATAAAACCACGATGAACCACCATGGGCTCTCCTTTTTGAGACTTGAGTGTTCTAATATTTGACATTTCTTGTATTTTAGTAGAATAAAAGCAACTCAAATGATTGTTTCTCTATATATTTAAATCAATGAGTCAATTAGATAGATTAATCAGTTTAGCTTCTAATTAAGTAAGCGGATTATCCTTAATTAAAAGAATAAGCTTTTTCTTTGAGATAGATTGTTCTATTTTATAGATATTAATCAATAGCTTGATTAGTTTTGGCTCTTTCAAGTTAGTTTTTGTGTTAGAATAAGTTATATTTTCTTTCGTTTGTTTATAGTATATTTCACGAGAGTATTGTCTGAAAATAACACTATCTTATAATTGCAACGTTATGTCCTGCGACGTTCTGTCTTTGCAACTATCTGTCCGTGCAACATTTTGTCCATGCAACATTTTGTCCACGCAACATTGTGTCCATACAATATTTTGTCCTTGCAACCATTTGTCCATGCGACGTTTTTTCTGCAACCATTTGTCCGCGACATTTTGTCCGCAACGATATGTCCGCGACATTTTGTCTTGCAACGTTTTGTCCTGCGACATTTTGTCCATGCGACANCGGACTCAGTTGGTACTTTGTGGACTTCGTGGACTCTATCTGTACTTTGAGTACTTCATGGACTCTGAAACTGCCATGAGAGTCCAGGAAGTCCAAGAGTACAGCGTTTTCCTTTGGACTCTCTGTACTCAGAGTCCATGAAAATCCAGTCAGAGTACACGGAGTCCAATCAAAGTCCATGGACTCTGTAGAGTACAAAAGTACGAGAGTACATCGTTTCCCCCTTGGTCTAACGTATGAAACTCACATATGAAAGCAAAACTAACAGAGAGTAAGGACAATAATTACAAACAAAAAAATAGGAATGCTAATAATCAAAACTACCAGTGTGGCAATATATGTAAGGTGCGCATTTTTTATCAAACGCTTTGGTGTTTTCTTGAAATCTAATTTAAACAAACACAAAATTAATGTTTCTTCATTTCTTGAAAAGAAAAGCATTGTTTTTTAATGTTCGTATGTTGTTTCGCCCACTTGAAATTCGAATACAAGACAGAAGACGATACTGTTCTGGTGTCGATTTATTGTTACGCGCATAGCTTTAGTATAAAGAATCGATTTAGATCATTAATACCTTCATAAAACATCAATCAAGTCAATATTTTCTTTTTGTAGAGATAAGGTTCAAAGTTAAGCGAAAGAAGAAAACGCATGACATCAGTGTGTGGTTTCCCATCTGGTAAAGGTTGTTCAAAAAGTGATTTTTATTAAATTCTATTGCAAAAAAATACACCTCTCGTTCATTTTCTTGTATGTTATAAAGCATGCACGACAAAACCCGACACTGATAAATTTCTTTTTATCTTTTCTTTTTCATCTCACACGAGATGTCATGCCTACTGACAGTCGTAGCCTTGTATATTTGATAACGTCGACAACAACAAAAACGAAAAATTCATCTTTTCTTTTTTGAAATAAGGTGAAAAAGCAGGTCTACTATCTTGTCTTTTTCTTTGACATGACATCTGCTACAAAAAACAGTATTACAAGAATATCAGCATCGTCGGAGACTGTCGAAGATGATATACTTGAATGCCTTCGACGCGATGGCGCTGTGATTGTTACTGAAATGTATTCAAGAAATCATGTTGAACAAGTTAAGCAAGATCTTGCGCCTCATTTTGATTCGGATGTTGCCGATCAATCTGGTTTCTTTCCTTCAACAACACAACGAGCTACTGGTCTTTTTGCCATTTCACGTCCCTGTATTGATTTAGCTATGCATCCTTTACTTCTGGCTGTAGCAAATCGATTACTCACATCGACGTATACGTTTAATCTCGGCTCACAAATGAAAACTGTTAGTTCAAAACCGATTATTTCGTCAACTGTCGGCTTTCGTGTCAATCCTGGTGGCAAACAACAAGCACTTCATCGTGATGATACTGATTTCCATACGAGACCGTGTGATTGGCCAATGATGATTGGTTGTGTAATTGCCTTAACACGTACTCACAAGGACAATGGTGCAACAATCGTTATTCCTGGTTCACACGCATGGGAAGATGAAAACCGTATACCGTTGGTAGAGGAAGCTGTACCTGCTGAATTAGAACCCGGCGATGCAACCATCTTTGTGGGAAATGTTTATCATGCTGGAGGAGGGAATATTACTCAAGATGAGCGGCGCGAAACAGCAGGCATATTTATGGCTAAAGGATTTTATCGACAAGCAGAAAATGAATACTTGACGATACCACCCGAACGATGCAAAGAACTTCAATTGAGTCCAGCAGAGTTGCGTGTACTTGGCTATGGAATATCGCAACCATCATGTGGCTTTTTCAAATATAAAGATCCAATGGAATCTATTTTTGGAATTATGGATGAGGAGACTGTTAAGCTGTAGAAATTGAGACCTACATAGTCGAAAACTACTCACTTTTGCGTCTTCTTATGAAGAACAATCAATAAAATTCACGCTTTTAATGCCTATTTCAACAAAGAATTCGTCATTTCACATGTTTTAGTTGAACATGACAGAATCACTTTTTCGAACTGCTTACTTGAAAACCTATCGATAGTTTTCTACTTTCGTAATTAAATATTCTCATCTTTCGGTCACTTATATAGATTCGCTTAGTTTTGTTTAGAGCAGATTTCAACATTCCTTCCTATAGCTATTCTACAATCAATATTTTCGTATTAGGCAAACCACTTAATTTTTTGTCGACCTCTTCATTGTTGCTAATCAAGACCAGAAACAAGATCTTGTCCACTTGAAAATTTTAGCCAAAGAAGTAGCTTAAAATAACTTATATATTCGCTTAAAAATCACTTATAAGCGCACATTTTAAGTCACTTAAACGTATTTTGAACTTATTTAAGTGCTTATCAGCTGTTGTCCAATGGATAAGTTCTAACTATAAATAGTTTTGATGTGTTTTGTTCGCATAATTCTACAATTAATCTAGTACACATACCACTTTGTGTAAGTGAGAAAAAAAAGGTATTGCTGTAAATCATAAGAACACGGTTAGTGAGTCTGAATATGCTTAAACTGACAAAACATAATTCATCTGTAAAAACTGTGTGTACAGTAAAGATAAAAAGTGCAATGAAACATATCTAGTTCATTAGAAGTAAGAACAGTCTATTATCGTTTGTAAAAATAAAAATTTCAGTATCTTTGTAAGAAGCAGTCATTCAAAAAATTTATCTGAATGCAAAAATCGTTGATGACTGCTTATAAAAACTTATCAGATTTTTGCAGGAGATTCAAAGAAAACAGACTAAAAACTATTCAGTTCGATAGAGTAATCGATGCTCTATTCAACTATATTACAGTTAGAAAATTTTAAGGTTATATATAAGTGCAACAAATTAAGAAAAACTATCAAAAATAACATATTGTTGTCATCTTTTCTTGATCTAAGTAGTACATTTGAACAGAGTTGTTCGATATTTTACAGTTACACAAGAAGACCGATTTGCTCATCTTTATATAAATAGTTGGTTTTAATGAGACATGTCATATATTGACATTTTAATTTTCTCCTAGAACTGATATTCCAGCTAGAAGTGCGGTCGAAACAGAACGTGAATAGATTTTTAATATTCAAGCGATTTAAGTTATGATTTCAAAGTTTCATCATGATATCAATTGAAGTTTTATTTAACATATATTTTATCTGTAATCATTGTANAAGATAGCATATTTGTTTTCATTGATAATGCCACAAAATAATTAAATGATCCAGTGTCAATAACAAAAGATAATCGTCATCGAGCAGAACACGTGGGCCGATGTATTTTCATCATCATATTGATTTTTGTTTACTTGTTTTCAATTTTTTTTTCTAATGCTATTGTCAGCAAGAAAATCTTATTCAATTAACAACAAGTTCAAGGAAACGTTGATAATGATTGTTGAAAGAAATAGATGTTCTAAACTGAAATGATATTTCTATATCATTTAAGTAATCTTATCAGCTGATCTAACTATTCATCGATATTTGTCAGAAGATCTCGTTCTTTCTGCCATTTGATGAAGCAAATAAAAATGATAGGTTTTTATAAAACAAATGAGAAATAATAATACAATTCAGTATTTAACGAAATGAAAAATCATTCTTCTTTTTATTCGAACTTCTCAAACACATCATAATTTGGATTTTATCGACTCAATTGAAATCTCGCTATAAACTATGTTATTTACTAGATTAAACTAATTATCATTGTCATCAGTGCTTTGTGATGCACATGGAAAAATGTCTAACTATTTACCTTGATGACAAACAAAATCTTCTGATGATAGTCATCTTACCGAAGTTCCATGAGATAGTATTATGATCCAGAATATTCAAGCACTAAAATTTTGATTTATTGAAGCCTAATTGATTCAGATGATACGTTTCTTCTTATAAGAGGAGATACAAAGATTTTCTTTTATTAAATTTATTGAATTTTTTTTTGAATTAGTGAACTTATCGTTCGAGAATGTATGAGTGAGTTGCATATTTTTGACACAATTGAAATTTTTAGCTTTATTTGCCTAATAACTTTCGTTCTCGTTGACTGGTTCGACCAATTGTTTTTGTATGTTAATCGTCTTTGAGTGCCCCACACCTCCCATTCGCAATGATAAGCATCATAAAAATGATACGATTCCATATTGGTTCCTTAAAGATAATAGTTATGTCAATTGAGATGACAAATAGATAGTAGATGTTTGAATAAAAAAACTTGTTAAGTTATATTCAAGAAGAAAGCAAGTTAATTTCATGTATGCATTAGTAAT